AAAAAAAACCACCCAAAAAAACAAAACAAAAAACCCAACCCATTGAATCTATTCTTATCCTCTTAAAGTTAACTAGAACCAGTCAGCATATATCAATAGTTTCTAATATGCTATGAATACATTAAGATATCATTTAAGATAGTGAGTGCTCTTCTCATAGCCATTTTTCTTTATATAATGAGACAGTTATTCATCATTCAGATCCTTGACTAAAATAGAAAAAAATACACTTAAGGAAACACAAAATTTATTACTTTGAAATTGTATATTTTAAGGAACCAGCAGTTAATGTAATGGTTATGTTGCTGGATTCCCACGTAGTCGACCACGGTTTGCGTCCCGGACCCGGTGGCTTAAACTCACGCCGGACGCGTGTGCGTGCGTGCCCAAGATCCCGAGAGGAGAATGAAGGAGAAGGGATTGTGATGTGGCCATCCCCCCTGGGGGCTGATTTCTCACTTTCTGTCTCTCTGTCTGTCTCTGTCTGTCTGGCGAGCGCACACACCCTATAGCAAAAACCTCTCCAAAAAAAAAAAAATTGTGTATTTTTAAACAATATATAAATGAGCATTGATAAAATATTACCATTTGGTAAAAACAACAGTTCACAACAGTCCTACATCACATATTATAACTGCAGAAATCTTTAAACACAATCTAATTAGTAAAACCAGAAGTTGAAGGCATACTGAAGGAATCCTTAATATTATAAGGCCTTGGTTTCAAAAAGTTACCCATTCTAGAATGGATTCTACTCTGGAATTGTTTTTCGACTACTTCTTGCTGCATTTCTTTCAGTGTGAAATGGAACCTTTGAAATTCAGGTGTGGCACCAACAAAGTCAAGAAGGTAGTCCAAACTCTCTCTTACAGCAGATAACTTAAATTCAGTAGCCTGCTTTTCAGTTCCTCCTCCTTTTTGAACAATTCCCCTTGTAATCCCACCTTTTGTTTTGGGGGGATATTCCTTTTCTTTTTCATCTCCATTTTGCCACACCCTATCATCATCCAGTTTGGTTTCTAACTCTCCACATTTTTCAAGAATTTCCCTATAATCCCCATCTTCTAAGCCTTGAAGATCATATTCAGGTTCCTTTTTGTAAAGAAGATTTTCCCATGCATTTGCTATGGTTATTTGTTTTACTTCATCCCAACTTTTTGCCCAGTTAAAAATTGCACTTTTTATATTGTAGATTTTAATCTTGGAAACTCCTTTTTCTCCTTTATCTTGTTCATCATCACTTTCTTCAAAAATTACAAGACTCTCTTCAAGTTGTTTCCATCTATAAAGTCGTTTGCAACTCAAGACTACACCTTGATTCATTGGTTGAATCAAAGTTGAAGTGTCATGGGGAAAGAATATGCATTTTATTCGGCCATCCTCACTCATTAGTGATTCAGAAGAAGGGTGAGTTGAGGAACTACCCAGAATTAACAATGCCCTGATGTCCTCTTCATGAAATCTTAGAACATTAAGTTGAAAGTGCCGGACTTCAGGAACAAAGTTTTCAAAGAACCATTCTGAAAACAATTCTCTGGTGAAACAGACATCTTTACTAGGTTTATATATCACAGGTAATGAACTTGTACCCTCTTTTACACTTTTGGGCAGCTTTGATTTTCCGATAATGATTGATTTTAATTTGTGAGTTCCATCTGCATTTGCACATAAGAGGGCAGATAACCGTTCTTTATTTCTTTTCCTCCCTGGCAGGCAGATATCTTTTCTGTTTGCTTGAGTATTTTCTGGCATTGACTTCCAAAAGAGGTCAGTTTCATCCCCACTGTAGAGTTGAGCTAGATCCAGTTTCTCTTCTTTGATGATCCTAGATAATTTTTGTCGAAATGGTTCAATATTTTCTGAAGCTGAACTTAGAACTTGTTCCCCACATACTTTTCGGTTCCCTATTGCATGCCTATTTCTAAACCTAAATAGCCAACCAGTGCTAGCTTTGAAGTCTGTTCGCCCAAAACACTGTGCGAATCTCTCTGCAGCAGCCTGAAGTTCCACACCTCTAACAGGGACACCAGCTAAGCATTTCTGTTGGTACCACATGTAGACTGCATCATCTACATCAACGTATTTGGCACCCGTTGTCCTTTTTCTCTTCTCAGCCCCCACTAATGGCATGTCCTGCTTCAGTACAAAGTCCAAAATCAGTTTCTTATTCTTCTTAATGTCATAAAATGTTGACTTACTGATTCCAAATTCATCCATTACACTTTTAAGAGATCGTCCCGCTTCAATTCTACTTAGAACCTTCATTTTCTCCTCCAAGTTCAGTGTTGTGTATTTTCCTCTCTTATTCATACTGAATTTGATTTCAAACAACTAGCAGTAGAAAAGCTTTACTGATTTGAGGTGGGGGTGGGAAGAGACTATCTCAAAGCTCCAGAAGGCACAGGCACCTGTTTGTACTGGAAAGTAAGGGAGTGAGGGGAAAAGGGCTCATGATTGAAGAGCTGGTCTTGAGGTAAAGGTCTCATATGTTCAGAAAGCTGCCACTGCCAAAATCCTGGCTGGCTGCTGCTCTTGTAAGACATGGGTGATCAGTTTTCAGGACCAGCCCTCTTCTCTCTTGATAGAAATAGTGGCCTCAGTCAAGGATAATGAATAGCTGCACACTTCCCCTAAATCAACATAGGAGAAGGGACAAAAAGAAAGGAGGCATTGAGCAAGATGAGCCCACACAGACCCTGGTGGGATAAATCTCAATAAAAAGTCATGCTTGAGAAGGGAATATGAAAGACTCAAAGGCAATGACAGAGTAATCTTGTGTAGCAGAAATGCAGCGTGGTTTCTCCCTTCCAAAACGACCCAATGTTACCTCACTGCAAGCAAAGAAGAGTGCTCATATCGCTCTGTGCATAATGTTCACTGAGCAGTAGTTCATTTACCTGAATAAAGACTTCAAGCTATAAAAATCCTAGTGGTGGATGTCTGGAGAGCTAGAATTTAAGAACAGTTGTATAGAATCTTCAAGGGAAGAAGACAGTAGTTGTTGCATATATGAATAAAATCCAGCTTTTATTGCATTTAGCGTATCATTCTCAGACTGAGCATTGAGTGTCTCTTATGTTTGCCAAGGTAACCTTTTAATAAGTAAGTAAATTATTTGTTAGTGGTAATTTTCCAGCCTCAGTTCTTCTTCTTTGGGTACATCTATCTGATGTATTCTCAAGTGTTATTTATTTATTTTTTTTACTGATACTGTTTCATATTTGGGATATTATTGTTTTAGAACCATGGAAACTTTTAAGATAAGCCCAAAAGTTTTACAAATATTTTACCATAGTTAAAACATTTTAAAGCTTTATCCTTTCATTTGTTTTCCTAAATTTACCTCAGGATGTTAAGAAACATAGTTTTCATATTTGAGACTATTTGATTTTTTCTTCTGTGTATATTTGAACAAAGACTCAACTTTTCACTGCCTAAAGAAATTTAAAAGGGTCCTCTAATGGTACTTCTGATGAACTGTTTCTCATAAATTCTTTTGTTGGCAAACTCTTCCAAAGCTCTGTGCCATCCAGTATTTCTTTTCAGATGCTCCTGGTGCTGCCCAAGTCCTTAGAAATGTTCTACTTTAATTTCACAGTTCTTATTCCATGCATATAATCTCATGGGAAGAAACAAAAACTGCCTTTTTAATTCACTCCAGGTGCTATGAAGAAAGAAAAGTATGTCAGAGAAATGAGGAAAATGATCATTATCTCAGTTACTCTTTCTCTCCTTTAGGGCAGCGCTTGACGGGCCCTTCCTTCCCCACCTACAGAGAATAACCTCTAGTCTCTCATTTAGGAACTCAGAAGAATCAGACTGTTGGTTTCCTTCTAACATTTGTTGTAAAAACACCAGCTTTGGGGAACCAGCAGTTAGCATAATGGCTATGTCTCTTAACTCCCATGTAGCTGACCACAGTTCGAGTCCCGGACCCGGTGGCTTAAACTCACGCCGGGCGCGTGTGCATGCGTGCCCAAGATCCCGAGAGGAGAATGGAGAAGGGATTGCAGCATGGCCAACCCCCCTGGGGGGTGATTTCTTGTTTTCTATTTCTCTGTCTCTGTCTTTCTGGTGAGCGCACGCACCCTATAGCAAAAAAAAAAAAAGAAAGAAAAGAAAAGAAATACCAGCTTTGGGTTATAGAGTACTGAAATCATGAAAGAATATGACAGTAATTCAGTAACTGGAGTCTCCAGCCAATGACAGACTATTATCAAGCAACTTCCTAAAGGAGGCAGCTATAGCTAAGGCAATTACTAAGTAATAACAAAAATAGAAAAAGGGACCAGCAGTTAACATAATGGTTATGTTGCTGGACTCCAACGTAGTAGACCGCAGTTTGGACGTCGTGGCTTAAAACTCACACCAGGCGCGTGTGTGCGTGCCTAAGATCCCAAGAGGAGAATGGAGAAGGGATTGCGGCGTGGCCATCCCCCCTGGGGGGTGATTTCTCTTTCTGTCTCTCTCTGTCTGGTGAGCGCACGCGCCCTATAGCAAAAGCCTCTTAAAAAAAAAAAATAGAAAAAGTATTTGTTTGCCAATAGCAGCACCAGTAACTCTAGCCAGTCACCTAGCAAAAGCATTCAGTCTGCTATGGCAGTTGTTTGGCTGTCTCAGAATTAGCTCAGTGTGGAACCAGCAGTTAGTGTAATGGCTATGTCGCTGGACTCCCATGTAGTCGACCGTGGTTCCAGACCTGGACCAGGTGGCTTAAACTCACATTGGCAAGCACACATGCCCTGTAGCAAAAACCTCTCAAAAAAAAAAAAAAAAAAAAGTATAAACATCTCTATTTAAAAAAAAAAAGAATTATTAGTTTTTTTAAATTAAATTAAATTGATTTATTTAAATTTGACCAAAGAGAGAGAGAGAGAAAGCCACCAGATCTGGAAATCGAACCTCGGTCAGGCATGTGGGAGTCCAGAGCCCTTAACCACCATGACACCTGCCGGCCCCAAAATCTATACTTCTAAGAGTATAATGCTATACCATTCTGTCCAAAAGCAAAAACAGCATAACAGCCTGGTAAGAGTCTCTCATCTTCATTTTCATCTTAAATTTACCTCCAGATAAACTGCTCTAGAAAGAAATACCTCCAAAAGCCCACAAATAGTACAGAATGATTTACTTTACTGAAAGCTATCTTCTCATTTCCATTAAAAGGACTCCAAGATAAGGTCCATGTAAAATTACTTCCTAAATTTGTAAACTCTTTCTCCAAATGTAGCCCAACTCAGAGAACAATGCGCTTCAGATCAGCTTTCAAACATTTGGCTCCTACCCTTCCTCTGCCTGGAATGTGTCCCCACTCCTTGCTGTGGGCAAAAATCTGTCAAGGTCTCTTAAAATTTTTCCCAACTCAAAGTTAAGTTTTACTTCGTTGGAGTAGAGTAGCTTCAGTTTGCGTCCTACCTTTTAATACTCTGTTACTGATAGCCATGAAATTGCCTCACTCTTACTAGATTGCTTGAAGATCAACAGAATAATCAACTCAAACACTGGCAATAAATGATATACTTAATAGTTCCTTGACAGACAGGGCTGACAAAGTGCCAATCCAAAATATGTTTTTATAATCATGACTGAGTAAATATGAAGTACTTCTTACCCAGGTAAGTAGACATGGTAGGAATGCAAGATGAGAACGAGGTTCCCATCAACCAGGGAAGCACACTGTAGCAGAGAAAGCAGATATGACAACAGGAGACCTACATTCCAGTTCAGCAGCTGCCTCTGGCTAACCAGGTGACCCTGAGCAAGTCACTTAAGTCCTAATTTAAGACGGTTAAGTTTTAACATGGCACTTCAAAGAATTCAATGGAAAATGGAAATACAGCACAAATGAAAGTTAATTTTGGTGTAAAAAAATTTGAAATCCATGCCTAGTTTTTTCATAACACGTATTTTTCCATGAACTTTTCTAGGACACGTATGTATGGATCCTATTTCACAGGCTAGATCCTATCTCACACGGAAAGTAATAATAAGCCAGGCAAACCAGAAAATGGTATCAAACCCCTACGGGCCGTTGTTCCGAGGAGGCTGGGCCGCAGGAGGGCGGCGGCTCGACAGCTGTGGCGGCGGCCCTTACCGGGCAAGGCTGCCGGTTACCAGACGCTGCCAGCGGCCGCGCGAAGCGATGTAGGAACAGTGCGGACGCGGCGTCGCCCACGGCGGGGGCACGAGCCG